GTGCGGTGTGGTACTGCATCCAGGGCAGCAGCTCGCGCCGCACGCCCCGCACATCCGCCGCCGTGGTGGCGGCCAGGCACACACGCAGCGTCTCCCCCGCCTGCACCTGCAGCGGGTCAGCACTAAGCAAGCAAGGTGCATGAGGAGGTGCCGCCTGCCACTCAAGCACAGGTGCACCCCTTTCACTCCTGCTCACTCAGTGAATGAGACTCGTTCGGCTGCTGGCCCGCTCCATTCCCCCTTGTCCTCCACCCACACACCCCTCCAACCCCACAAACTGCCATCACCACCACCTCCACCACCAGGCTTGCCTCCTCGTGCAGCTCGTTGAGGAAGTCGATGCGCTGAGGGATGGAGCCTGCGCCCTCCTGGTCGTCGGCAGGCAGCAGGCCCAGGTCGGCGGCCCGCGTGCGGTGCTGGCGTGCGGCCGCCGCCCCCTCCTCCAGAACCATTGCCTCCACCAACGCCTCCCCGTACGCCCGCAGCTCGGCGTGCAGGTCCTCCACGCCTGCAGGCAGCAGCAGATGGGGCGGCGAGCTGGTTCTGGTTTTGTGCCGGCCGAGACTGTGCGCTGATTGGGAGGCGGCACAGTCACGGCCTGCTCGTCAGCGCCCTCCCTGCTGCCATCCCCGCGCCTCGCACCTGGGATGTTGGAGCTGGACTGGCGGCCGTACCGCTCATCCACCACCCGCTGTACCACCACGCCCGGCACCGCCAGCTGCTGGCCCTTGGTGAGTATGGGGCTGGCGGGCTGCTGCGCTGCGGACCCCTCCACAGGCTGCGCATCTGGCAGGCCCAGCACCCAGGGGTGGGCATCAGACAACGAGCGCAGGATGCCGCCTATCTCGCGGCGCAGCAGCTGGCGGTCGGCCTCGGCCAGCTGCACCCTGGTGCAGTTGGTGCCGCCAGCACCGGAGGGGGGCATGGCGGCCGCCACGCCAGAGCCGGCCCCTGCTTGCCCGCCCAAGGTTGGCTCCTGCTCTGCCCAGAAGGCGGCGCCGTCGGCGCTGCCGCTGCCACTGTGCCGCTCCAGCAGCATGCCTCGCCGCTGCAGCTCCGCCGCCTCCAGCCCTTTCTGCCGCTCCTGCCGCACAAGCTGCTGCACTCTGGGCGCCACCAGCATGTCGTGGGCCTTGCCCACGCCCCAAACCACCAGCAGCGCCAGCAGCACGCCGGCGGCTGTGCAGCCGGCGCCACGCAGTCCCAGCTGTAGCTCGCTGGCCCCAAAGCTGGCTCCGCGCCGCCGGCGCTTGCGGTACTTGTGCCCTGCCTCCAGCTCGTCTGGCGAGTTTGGCCCCGGGTGGGCCTGCTCGAAGGGCGAGCGGGCGCAGGCACGAGCGGGCGTGGCCATGGCGCCCTGGCTACCTTGGAATGCGGCTGAGCTTTGCTCACGATCGTGGGGAGGGTGCGCCTGCCGAGGCCCAGGCACATGGGGCGGCGGCCGTGGAAAGTCGCGCCGGCATCGCCAGCGTGCCTGCACACCTTCCCCTGTTCTTGACCCCAAAGCAGTCGCAAACAACTGAAAACATGAAGGCTGGCAATGGGAAACTCAGGCGGAGCACCATCCCAGGGGTTCCCGCTGTGATAAACTTGCATGTATCCGCTGACGCCCGCCGAGCGCCGTCCCCTTGCCCACCTTGGCTTCGTTTCCAGCACCTCTTTACAATCAGGGTTGCAGCACAGCCAGCACCCCACTGACAAGCATGCCCAGCAAACCCGCCAGCATGCTGAACAGCAGCAGCACCTCTGCAGGCCCTGGCCCGCCGCCGCCGCCGCTCGACTTTGCTTGCAGCCCGCCCCCCGGAGTGGATGCTGCCATGGAGGGATGGTCGATCGATGCATCTGCTCTCGCCAAAGGGAACACAGCAGACTCATTTGACAGGGCAGAGGCTGCCGATGGCTCCGCCCCGGGCGGTGGCGGCAGAGCGTCGCTGCCGCTGCTCACGCTACGGCTGCTTCGCGCTGGTGAGGGCTGCTGATGCTCAAGCCCTCCTGGCTCCACTGATGCCGCTGCCGACGGGCCTGCCGCGCCGCTCCCTTGAGCCGACACCGATGCCGCGCACGCACAGCTGCCGCCCTGCTCTTGGCGGCAAGCGTCAGCCGTGGAGTCCGCCGCTGCACCCTCGTGGCTCCAGCGAGTTGCTGGCTGCTGCGCCTGCGGTCCCTGGGGCTGCTGCTGCCCCTGAGCAGCAGCGCCTGGCCCAGCCTGCTGCGCCCGCTCGCTGCTGCCATTGACGCTGCAGTTGCTGCTGTCATGATGTGCCGCATCGCCGCCTGCCTGGTCTGCCTCTGCCGGGGGGCGATACAGCACTCGCACCACCTCTGCCTTGACCGACCAGCGGCTGGCAGACACCACCCGCGCCTCCACCACGCAACCCAGCAGGCTGCCGCTGCCGTCGGGCGCCTCGGCAGGCACTAGCACCTGTGGTGGTACGCAGGGGGTGGCAGGCAAGGCGGGTAGGTAGGCAGGTGACCCATCGACACAACCGCGCACTCCTTCAAACAGCCTCCTCCTGCCTCCAGCTGCACAGCCACTACAGCATTACTGCTGCCAGCCCACGCCTATCAAGCCCCTACCTGTGTGTATGCCTTGTTGTGCGCCACAGCGTGCACGCCGTCTGCGGCGGTGTCCACCACGCAGCAGCGCTGGGTTGCGCCCACCAGGCCCGAGTACGAGCCGCACCATGACTCCACCGCCGCGGTCACCTCCCGGCTGCGCTGCTTGACCACGGCAGTGGGCACGCGCCGCATGCGCGCCGCGGGCGTGCCGGGCCTGCAGCCATGCAGGAAGGCAGAGGGCCACTTGTCGGTACATCGGCCCCCCCAAAAAGGAGGCCACCCAAGCCCCTGCACCGCAACAGACCCGGCACCAGCGGGGCCCTGAGCCCCTGGCTCACCGCGGGTAGAACTGCGAGATGTGGCAGTGAGGGAAGCGGTACTTGTCCAGCAGAGCCAGCGTCGCGCCGTGGTCCTCCTCAGTCTCACCGGGGAAGCCTGCAGGTAAAAGGAGGCATGGCTCCGTGTCGAGGCCGGGGAGCAGAGCAGCCTAGTCCGCGAGACACAGTGGCTCCAAGCGCCCCGCTCAGTACCCTCTGCTCTGGCTCCCTGCCCAGCAGCGCCAGCGGCTGCTCACCGCAGATGATGTCTGTGGCCAGCTCCAGCCCCGGCACCGCCGCCAGCAGCGTGTCGCACACGCGCCGGAACTGCGCGGCGCTGTACTCTCGCCGCATGGCCGTCAGCACCGCGTCGCTGCCAGACTGGACCTGCGCGGATGTGCAGGGAGGGGAGGAGGTGCGGTGGTTGACCACTGTCCAAGCAGCTCGGGCGACAAATGGGACACCCGCAGGCGCTCAGCATGGCATGCTCTTCGCCCCACGAAAACAACTCCCACCCAGCCGCCCAGCCACCCACACGTACCGGCACGTGAAGGTATGAGAAGACTCGGTCGTCCCGCAGGATGGCCCCCACCTCTGCCAGGTGCTCCAGGATGAAGGGCGGGTTGGTCATGCCCACGCGCAGCATGCACCGCCCGTCTGCAGGGCAGTGGCAGAGCAGGCAGGAGGGCAAGCGGGGGCAGGGCGCGGGTCGGGCGCTGCTGAAGTGCTGGGCATGAGCGGAGGGCAGACGCAGGCAGGATGTGCCGTGGTCGCAGGCGAGCCGCTGGAGCGGCCACACCCACCCGGCGGCAGCACCTCCACCAGCTCCCGCAGCAGGGCGGGCAGGCTGGTGCCGATGTCGCGCCCATAGGCCCCGGTGTCCTCGCTGCTCAGCCAAATCTCCCGCACCTGCACACCAGTGGGGCGCAGGCGGGCCACAGCGGGCTACGAGCTGAGCGATGCTGCAGGAGGCCCCGCTCGGCCTCCTGACATGGCCATGGCACCTCACAGTTCGCCCTGTCCCCACACCCAACCACATCAGCTCACACACACAGGCCTACCTGCGGGTCTGCTGCCGCTGCCGCCGCACGCCGCACCAGCTCAGCTGGGTCGTAGCTGCCCAGCTGGCCACGGGCGTGCTTGGTCTTGCAGTATGTGCAGGCGCCCAGGCACCCCGTGGACAATGGCAGGATCTCGATGTGCCGGTTGCGCCGCACCTGCCCCACAGGAAAAGAGAGCGAGCACAAGCGCACAAGCGCACCTTCAAGCCGAGGCAGCAGCAGCAACGCAGCAGCCCGCCGACTGACGTCCCAGCCACGCCAGCCGCCCGCCTGGCCGCCGCTGGCGCCCCACCTTGGGCAGATCCAGCCTGGGCAGCGCCTTCTTGGCCAGCAGCTGCACGGTGTGCCCCTTGAGCGTCTCCTCCACCGCCTCCACCACGCGGTCGATCTGCGTGACGCCCAGCAGCGACAGGCCGCGCAGCTCCGCCGTCCGCCGGTCGCCCTGCGTGGTCAAGCAGCCAGGGGTGGGTTTGGCTAGGCGAGGGCTTCCATTCTGTGATGTGTGTAAGCTCACGCTCAGCCCAGGCAGCAGTGAGGGTCGCAGTCGCGTGACCCACCCAGCCGGTGCCAAGCCAGAGCGTGCCCCTACCTGCGGCACGCAGCCCGCCACCAGCAGCGCCTTGCCCAGCCGGCGCCCCCGCCGCAGCAACGTGTCCATCGCTGACTGGCTGGGGCTCTTCACTGTGCACGTGTTCAGCAGCCACAGGTCGGCCGCAGCGCTATCCGCCTCGTCCACCAGCCTGCGGAGGGATCAACCACACGCAGTTGTGGCAACAGACAAAGGTGTGGCAACAGACGGGCTGTCAGGAAGAGGCGGAACGGGGAGCACTCACTTGAAGCCGTACTCCTGCAGCTGGCCCATCATATACTCGCTGTCGCTGGAGTTATGGGAGCAGCCAAACGTCTTCACCCAGATGCGCTGGGTGCCCGGCACGACCGAGCCGCCATCACTGGCGGCGGCAGCGGCGGCTCCCCACGGCGGTTCTGCCGCCTGCTGCTGGGCGCCTGTGCCCGCCTTGCTCACACGCTGCACATGGGCCTCTAACAGCCTGTCTGCACGCCCCGACTCGCCATCCAGCTCGAGGTGCACGTCCTCGATGTCTGCCACCACGTCCTCCATGTCGGCCTACACCATGATGCGACTCAGATGTGCCAGCGCCAGGCGTGATAGCCCTGGCAGAAATTTGCGGTACCGTGTACTGCTGCGACCTCTCGTTTGGAGCCGGAGCCCTCCCTAACTGGAAGAGGTGCTGCATTGAGTCGTCCGGAATTGCTCCCAGCACTTCGCAGCTGCAGCGCTTCGGCATGTGGTGAATTCATTGTCTCTCAGCCGGCATCCTCCTTCGCAATCACAGCCCTGGCTGGTGGCTGGAATAAGTATATCGCGAGATGTTGAAAAAGGCGAGCGGGGGTCAGCTCTGGCCTTGGTGCCGGCACGGCTCCCTCTCCATTCGGGCTCATGGGGAGCCTGCGCCCACCATTTTCCTCCCTGTGTGCGAGTCCAAGGCTCTGGGAGGCCCGACATGCCCGCCCGTGCCAGTCAACCCTATGCCGCTGTGAGCCGCCGTGACGGTGCAGGCGGCGGCGGCGGCAGCAGCCAAGGGAGTTGAGGGGCAGCAGCAGCAGCAGCCGTCGCCAGAAGCACAACCACAGTTACTGCCGCCGCAGAAAGACGTTGCGGCGCGCATAGAGGACTCGTTTCGAGTGAGCGTTGGAAAATGCACTCGTGTGCCGGCCGACGTGCAGAAGCGCTGCGCACTGAGCTCCCTCTGCTGCTGGGCATGTGTTTTCTCCAAGGCGCTGCACCTCCCTGCCGCAGGACCTCAAGCTTGAGTCCTGCCGGCTGGAGGACTTTGAGGTGGGGCGCGTGCTGGGCACCGGCAGCTTTGGGCGCGTCAGCCTGGCACGGCACCGAGGAACGGGGCTTGTGTGCGCTATCAAGGCGCTGTCCAAGGCGCACATAGTGAAGAACCAGCAGGCGAGAGGCGCTGGGATTGCCTGCAGCTGCAGCTGGTGCTGCATGGGCCTGCCGTTTGCCGCGCTGCACTGCACTACTGGTGAATGCCCATTGTTCCAGCAGCATGGCGGGCACAGAAGGTTGCTGGGGGTTGGGGCTGCAATTTTAACCGCTCCCCCACGGTACGCGAGACGCTTGCCCTGGCCCCCTCCCGCGCCTTGCAGATTTCGCACCTGCGCAGCGAGCGCGACATCCTGCGCCAGCTGGACCACCCGCTGCTGGTGCGCATGCACGGCTGCTGCCAGGACGAGCAGTGCGTGTACTTCGTCATGGAGTATGTGCCAGGTGCGGCGCGGCTGGTGCGATGGTACCGGGTGCCAGAGCGGCAGCCAAGCGTGGTTGGGCTAGGCCAGCCTTCCAGCAGGATGTGCAGCGCCACAGGCTGCCAGGTGCACGTGGCAGAGCGGCACTGTCCACGCAGATGGTTGCATCAGGCCGTTTGCGGCCCACGCCGCTACCCTGGCGCTGCCCTGCAGGCGGCGAGTTCTTCAGCCACCTGAAGAACAAGGGCAAGCTGAGCGAGGAGGCTGCGCGGCTGTATGCGGGGGAGGTGCTGCTCATGTTTGATTACCTGCACACCCAGGACATTGTGTACCGAGACCTCAAGGTATGGGGCGGGCTGTGCTGCACGGGCTGCGCTGGCTAGGTAACCGGTCGGTGGGAAGCCCAGCGGGCACACCCGCTTCTTCCCGTCCCTGCTGATGGTGGGCCCCTGCTTGACATCTGAAGGAAGCTCCTGCCTGCCTGCCCACCACCCACCCACCCTGCCGCACGCCCGCAGCCCGAGAACCTTCTGCTGGATGCAGCGGGGCACCTCAAGCTGACTGACTTTGGGTTTGCAAAGGCCATCGGTGCCAAGCGCACGTACACGCTGTGTGGCACGCCAGACTACCTGGCCCCGGAGATCATCCTCAACAAGGTGGGTGCCTCGGGCGGTGGTAGTTGTTCGGGGTGGTGATTGTGGTGGTGGTGGTGGTGGTGGTGATGAGGTGGCACGGCAGGAAGGAGAGAGTTGTTGGGAGGTGCAGCGGCCCAGCTTGCACCGCATCATGCGCTGGCAGCCACCAGCCGCGTGCCAAGTGTGCGCCAGCGTGCACACGTACACCCCATGCAGGGCCACGGCAAGGCGGTGGACTGGTGGGCGCTGGGGGTGCTGATCTACGAGATGCTGGCGGGGTACCCCCCCTTCCTGGATGACGACCCGCTGTCCACGTACAAGAAGATCCTCAAGGGCGTGCTCACCTTCCCGCCACACCTGTCGGTCACGGCGCGCGACCTCATCCGCAAGCTGCTGCAGGTGGCCGGGGGATGGGATAGGTGGTGGGCATGGCTGGGGTGGTGGCTGGTCCGAAGCAGTTGATGATTGGTTCAGCACGGCCACGGGGCGAGGGATGCCTCTGAACGGCACTGTCAGGTGCTGTACATGCCCCGGCAGCGCGCCCATCTCCACATTGCCTCACACTGCCCCAAGGCGAGTCCCGCAGGTGGACCTGAGCAAGCGGTACGGCTGCCTGGCGGGCGGCGTAAACGACATCAGGAGCCACCCCTGGTTCCGCCCACTCGACTTTGCCGCACTCAAGATGCGCACGCTGCAGGCTCCCATCAGGTGCGGCCTCGGGCTGCCTTAGTATGGGCCAAATCTTGGCGGCTCCCAATCTCTTGAGCCTCATGCTGGAGCGTGCGCCAGGCCGTGCACTCTCCTGCTCTTTGCCCCATCCATCCATTCCACCTTCCACCCGCAGGCCCACCGTGTCTGGTGCAGACGACACCAGCAACTTTGAGGATTACAGCGAGCTGGAGCCAATGCAGCACGCCTTCCAGCTCAGCACCGCGGAGCAGGCACTCTTTGCAGAGTTCTGAGGCGCGCCATGCAGTCCAGCAGCAGGGAAGGCGAACAGGACGGAGGCATCCTGCTGTGACAGTGGCCCCATCACCCGTGCGTCGGTTTGTGCTTCTGGTAGCATTGCTTAGTTCAAGCGCCGCTTCCACTGTTTTTACACCGCTCCCACCTCCCACCATTTTCACTGACACCTGGGCCCCAGACCTTCACACATGCATCCATTCAACAACTCGGCAACTGATCTCATGCCCACATGTTGCATGAAACACCACGCAGAAGCAGACAGATGGGTCGCAGGCAGACAGATGGCAGGTAGTGCAGAGCAGGATGGTCGGGGCTCAGACCACAGGCAGGTGTTCACTATGGTCGTCACTGTACTGCATGATCGCCACATCCGGACGCAGCTGGCGCAGGCGCGCCCTCCACTCCTCGGGGCATCCAAGACTGCCTGCCTGGCAGACGCGGACGTGGCTATGTTACATGTAAACCACACTAGCAGGCTACTGTACACAGAGGGTGGGGACAACGGTGCAGCCTCGACCGGGCAGTGGTCGCCCCGGCCGCCTTCAGCTCCACAGCCGCCCCTCTCCCTCCCCTCAGTCCTCTATCGGCACATCCACGTGCAGCTCCGCCCCCACCCCCTCCAGCGCCGCCCGATACTCTGCAAAGGTGAGGCCTCGCTGCGGGTCTGCCGCCGCGCGCAGGACCCTGGCCACGATGCTGTGCAGCTCGTCGTCGCTCAGCGAGCTGCCCGCCAGCTGGCGCAGCACGATCTCCATGTCGTCGCCAGACACCGCGCCGTCGCCTGCGGGGATGGAGGGCGCATATGTGTGTGCGCGTGATGGTGGCGTGGGTTGGAGGGACGAGGCTCAAAGGGAACGCAAGGAGCGGCAACAGGTGGGAAGCAGTTGCTAAGGCGGGGGTCGGGCTGGTGCGAGGGCAGGTGGCTGCACGGCAGGGATGTGGCGGTGCACCCCCACCCACCGTCCACGTCGTACACGGCAAACATGCAGCGCAGCTTGTCGTCGCGGCTGGCGGCGGGGCTGAAGGGCGCGAGCAGGCCCTGTGGCAGGAGAGGGCGGGTGGGGCAGCGTCATCGTCAGCCAGCATTGGCGGGCACCCCATGGGCTTCCACTGGTCCCGCCGACGTACACCACGACCAGCAGCTGCTGCAGATGGCCTCCCAGCGCGGCGACAAAAGCTGCCGAGCCAAACGCCGCTGGCCCAGGGCTGTGCTCAGCCAAACCCCGCCGCACAGGCCCTCACCAGGAACTCCTTGAAGTTGATTGAGTCGTACATGTAGGCCAGCCGCTTGGCCAGCGGGTTGATGCTCAGCTCCGGGATGCTCAGCACCTCCTCCGCCGTGATGAAGCCCTGGCGGGGGAGTGGGCAGGATGATGGGGCCCGGCAGTGGGAGGAGCTGGCGAGGGCGGCGAAGCGGCAGGTGGCACTGACGCGCTCAAGCACTGGCAGACGGGCGGGCGCCTGAGCAGAGTGGTTAAAGATCTCACCTTTCTTCCCCTGTCCAGTGACCTAAACCGCTTGTATAGCGCCTCAATCTCTGGTTGCGTGACTGCGGGCAGGAGCGGCTAATGGTCGGCGGGCGGCTTGGCGGCGGGAGCCGCGCCGGCAGCGAAACCCCCAGCCCCCATCGCTCTCCCACGACTCACATGCTCCCTTGCAGTAGGCTATAAGCTCGTCGACGTCATACTGCGTCAGGCCAAAGCTCATGGACTGCCCCATCGCGGCCTGTCGGACGTTGAGCAGCCAGAGGGGCAGGCAGCGACGATCAGGGACGCACAAACAGGCATGGAGCCGTGCAGACTGCGTCCAAGCAGTGACTTCTGGCATCCGCCGCCCAGCTGGCGCCGCCTCCCCCCCGCCTGAGGAGCCGCCTCATGTTTGCATGCTTACAGGTGCAAACAGGCAGCTGGTGCTATGAGTTTTGCAGAGCCTCGCTGCCTCCTTCCTCCTCCTCCTGCACCAGTGTCCGGGCTTCAGCCTCTGTCGCTGCCGCCGCTTTCGCTGCCGCTTTCGCCGCCGCCGCCGCCTCCCGCTTCTTCTGCTGCCGCGCCGCCTCGTACTCGTTGATCGGCGGCAGGCGCGCCAGCAGCTCCTCTGCCCGCAGGTGCTGGTCGTGCGGCGTGCACAGCAGGTTGCGCCCCTTGCTGCGCGGCAGGCGGCGCACCAGGCAGCCGCCGCCGGTGAAGACGGCTTCCATGCGCCCGTCCAGCAGCATCTGGCGCAGCCGGGTGGTGTGCACCAGCGGCGGCGGGTACTTGCGGCCTGCAAACAGAAAATCGGTGCTGCGGATCAGGCATGCCGCGCCGCTGCCCACACATGCACGGTATCCCTGAGCAACCCAGAGGCACACACGAGCAGAGCGCGGCAGGAAAGATCAGCCGCAGGTGCGCACGCTCGGCGGCGCCCACCTGACACAGCTTGCAGCACGCGCCCCAGCGCGCCCAGCGCCACCTGCTCCTGCACCTGCCCCTCAAAGAAGCAGGGGGCGCTGAGCAGGGCAAAGGGCACCGACCGCAGCGCGCGCGCCACCTGCGGCACAGCAGGTAGGCGGGCGAGCGTTGCAGGCAGGCAGGCAGGTCGCCAGGGAGCTACAACACCCCAACATAAGCAGGCTGATGCTGTGGCGGCACAGCCCTTTGTGCGGCCCCCGCACCAGAGTCAGCCTCGCATCCCAGTCGATGAACCAGGGCTGCTGCGACCTCCACGCGTGCCGCACCGCCGACTCTGCCTGCCGCCGCTGCTGCCGCCGGCGCCATGCCTCCAGCTGCGCCTCCGACATCTCCCTGCCCGGCCTCACCAGCAGCGGCTGCCCCGCCTGCTGCTCCTCCCGCGGCCGCGTGGGCAGGTCTGGGCACGAGGTGCGCAGCACCGCCCATTGCAGCACCTGATCGCTCAGCATTTGCTGCCGCTGCCCGGCAGCCTGGCAGCGCCGCTGCAGCAGCAGCAGGTCTTCGACAATGGACTGGCCGTCGCTGCCGCCGGTGCCGGTCCCGCTGCTGTCGCTGCTGCTGCTGGATCCAGAGCCACGCTCAGGCACCTCTATCTCCTCTTGCCAGATGGTGGCAGGCGCGGCAGGCCTGCCTGCCCCGGTTCCCGCCAGCCTCTCACTGCCGCCGCTGCTGCTGCCGCCGCCGCTGCTGCCGGTGGCATTGTCGCCGCCGCTGCGGTCCGCCAGGGAGGGCATCTGGCGCAGCACGTGGCGGATGCGGTTGCGGTGGTAGGACAGCTCAGAGTTGGTTGGGTCCACGATGTACGGCAGCCGGCTGCGCTGGCAGTACGCCTCCAGCTCAGCCTTGTGGAAGCCCAGCAGCGGGCGCACCACCTTGATGCGCCCAAACTCTGCGCAGGCAGGGCGGGGACGGGACGGCGGGGGGCCATTGTCATGGCACGCGCCTGCTATGGGCTACCTGGATCATAGTGCACATCACACCAGCCAGCCACACGCCCGCCTACGCCACCCGCCAGACGCTGCCAGGCCCACCTGTGCGCTTCTCGGCCACGGCCGGCATGCAGGCCAGGCCCACCACGCCGCTGGCGTGCAGCAGGCGCAGCAGGAAGGTCTCCGCCTGGTCGTCGGCGTGGTGGGCCAGCAGCAGGTGGGTGCGCCCCATCTCGCCGCAGGCCCGCAGCAGCGCTGCATAGCGCGCCTCCCGCGCCGCCACCATCCTGTCGCCCTGTGCCACCTCGCCAGGCGGCCAGCCCAGGGCAAGCACCCGCGTCTGCATGCCCAGCCCTTCTGCCTGCACGCCAGCAGCAGCGCGGCAGGGGGAGAAGGTGTGATGCAGCAAGGCGGGCCAACATTCTCAGAGGGCACATCCAAGCCGAGCCTTATTCACAACTTGGGAATGTTACGTGGCGTTGACATGCCCCGCCCGAACCAGAACCAGCCAGGACGCGAGCACACGGGCTGTGAAGGGCGCTACATGCATGCCACCAGCAGCCCTGCACCTGGGCTGCCACCGCGTGTGCCTCCTCCGTGCTCTCTGGACGGAGCTTGTGGTCGACTATCAGGGCCAGCGGGGTTTGCTGCAGGGGGAATCGGGTGGCGGCACGAGCGCGTGGACGGACGGCAGTGGGATGCAGTGCAGCAGGCTGGCCACGGCAGCCACCTGCTGGCGGCACCTGCGACCGCAACCGGTCCCTGCGCAGCACCTGGTTCCGCACAAATCCCTGCCACCACACGGTCATGGAGGCCAGCGCCAGGCTGTCGGGGCCGCCGCTCAGCGCCACCGCCACGCGGTCGCTGGAGCGCAGCCCGCAATTGCGCAGGGCTGCGACGTAGCGGGCCAGGGTCGTCATCCTCGTATTCAGGAGGATTCAGAGCTCCAGCCGGGGGCCCTTGGAACCTCACTGGGGCTTGGCCGCAGGGGGGTGCATGGGCGCGCGGCAGGGGCCAAGGCAAGGCGGCTGATCGGCTCCCAGCGATTATGAATCTCTGGGTGCAAGGATCAATGCGCCGATGGGCCATCAGCGCGCCGACTCGATCGAATGAATAGTGTAGTGCCCCCACGCAGTACTTACCGGTGAACAACGTTTTTGGGCCTTGTCCGAGGCATTCGTTCGAGTCACGGCCTCTCGCCGCTGCACAGGCATCAACCTGCCAGTCTCCCACGCACATGTGGTCCACATTCGGTTGCCTTTGACAGCCCTGGAAGCGCAACCACGCTTGCTCCGCTCCCTTGTATGTCGGAGGCTAGTGTTGATGCCGGCCAGAGCCAGCCGGCGGCCCAGGATGGAGTCGCGAAGGCCCCGGTGGCGGCGCCAACTGGACCTGCGCCTGGTGCGGGAGGCGGACAGGCGCCGCCGCACTGGGGCCAGCAGCCTGTGGGCCCTTCCGCCGGCTGGCATGGAGATGTTCCTGACGGTACCACGCCACCGCCTGGCTACTATTACATGATGCCGGGCGCCGAGTACATTCCGGCGAGCTGGGGCTCGCCGCCCATGGCCGCAGATGGCGGCGGCGCTGCCCAGCCGGGCATGGTGCCACCGCCTCCCGGCGCATTCATGGGGCAGCCCACGTGGGGGGAGGCCTACCCTGGGCCTACCTTTGAGCAGCAGCAGCAGTACATGGCCATGTGGTGCCCGCCTGGATACGGCGGTCCCGGCTACCTGGTGCCAGATGCACAGCAGGCCAACTGCATGCCTCCGCCACCATACGAGGAGCAGCAGTACGAACAGCAGCAGTACGAGCAACAGCAGTACGAGCAGCAGCTGATGTACATGCAAGCCTACCAGCAGCAGTTCTACCCAATGCCTCCCCAGCCGCCACTGTTTGCCATCTCGCCGGCCCAGCCGATTCAGCGCCAGGTGTCACGCCGCCAGCAGCTGGTGCAGCGGCGGCAGCAGCAGGAGCAGGGCCGGCTGGCGCGCAAGAAGAAGGCGGCGCTGCCGGCGGAGGCCTCCTTTGGGTGCGAGGGCAGCTTCCTGGCCAGCGCAGAGGCCAGTGTGGTGGATGACGCGGGCTCGGCGGCGGCCACACCCCGCTCAAGGCGCAGCATCGACGGCCCCGCAGCGCCGCCACACCACGCCCGCCGCTCCTCTGATGCCGGCCCCGCTGCGGGGGGTGCGGAGCTAGCGCAGCTGCGTGCGCCAGTCCTGTCGTCGTCCTCGCTGCCGCACCCCCAGCCAGGTGCGGGCAATTCCCAGTCGCCCTCCATAGTGTATGACCGCGCCCCCCGCGCCGTGGCCTGGCGGCCCTACAGCTATGCCGACTACCGCGGCCGCAACTATGATGCCAAGGCATCGGGGAGGTACTGGGAGCTGGGAGGGCTGGGACCCGCACACGGGGCGGGCACCGGCACCAGCGACGCGCAGTGGCAGGCGCAGCAGGACAAGCGCGAGCGGCAGCAGCAGTTTGGGCAGGCGGTGAGTGAGTGGGGCGCTGCTGCATTGCCAGGCAGGGCCTGTCTGGATGGCTCCCTGCTGCAGCTGCTAGTGTATGGCAGGCGAGTGGACCAATCCCTGGTCGCACCACCCCATGCATGCCTCGCCCTCGCCGCTCGGCGCCGCCACTCCTGCAGGCCAGCAAGCAGAACCGCGAGCGCATCGAACGCATAGCCTCCCTGCCACCCCGCCGAGTGGTCAAGCTGGCGATTCCTGAGCCATACAGCTACAAGCAGGCCGGCAGCAGGGCAGGCGGTGCCGCCGCTCTGCCGGCCATGGCGGCTGAGGCTGAGCAGCAGGCTGGAGTGGAGGAGATGGCCCCAGCAGGAGATGGGGCGCCCAGCGCGATGGGTGATGAGGCAGCACCAGATCGGGATGCCTGGTCAGGGCTGCCTGCTGCTGCCCAGGGAATGCTGGAAGAGCAGGCAGTGGCGCACCTTGAGGCGCTCACCCTGGAAGCAGCCGCCACCAAATAGATGTGTTGAAATGGATCGTTCATGTCGCTGTGGGCTGAGCCATCCGCTTTTGAAATTCCAATGAGTTATCTTTTTAGTCTTTTGTGCCATATTTTCTCCCCTTGGAGGTGGATGTAAGTTTTGAGAAGCAAGTAGAGCATTCGGCATGGGCGCGGCGCCTTCACGCAACCATTCAGGCCGAGTAGACATCATTTACATCCATTCCGTCAGCCCATCCATTTTTCGATTGCCGCAGAAAAGGCTCCAAAGCTCACACATCCTATAGCGCACGCCTTGGGCCCGCCGCTGTGCGCCAGGATGGCCCCCGTGGCGCAACCCGCGTAGATGCTGTTGCGGCTGTCGTGCCGAGCCCGGTACGACTCGATCAGGCACTCGGTGCCAGCAAACAGCGCGCCCATGGCGGCAAAGCCCTTGGCATACGACCTGAGGGGGGTGGGGAGGGCGTGGGTCAGTCGCAGCACACACATGATTGTTAGACAACACCTGTGCCAAACCACAGCAGCGACCCGGCGCCCTGCCGAGCCCACTCACTTGCTCTTGCTCATCGTGTTCTTGGCCATCTCCCGGAATGCCTGCCGCAGCATCTGCTTCTGGTACTCAACAGTGCCGCCAATGGTGGACCCCTGCAGCCCAGCACAGACGGCAGCGCATTAGTCACAGGCTGGCATCTTGACAGCCGCCTGACGGCCCTGCCTGCAAGGTGCTGCTTGGAACACCGGCAGCTGTGTGCGAGCTGAGCATGCATGGCAGGAGCAGGGGCGCCCCACCGTGTCCATGGTGCCCATGAAGATGCCAAACATGACGCCCATGCCGCTCCCCATCACCGCGCTCAAAACCGTGCGCACCACACAGTTGTTCATAAAGTCCTCCTGCAGGTGACCGGTGGCGCGGCGGCTGCTCAGTGAGGTGCGGCTCCAGCGGCGGCAGACGGCGTGGGGGCTGCCAGCTGTGGCGGCGCCGGCAACACGGGGGAGCTTGCAGGCGTCCCACGCACGGCGCATGAAATGCTCGAGCTCACCGAAGCTATTTGCTCTGCCGTGGGAGCCTCAATTCGTCTATAGTTGCGCTTGCCAGGAGGCAGGTGGGACTGGTCTTGCGGCGCCTGGCTGCTGCTGCTGGCAGGCGCCTCAGGCACCTCTACTGATGCTGAGGCCGACATGGGTGGCGATGGTGCTGCCTGCTGGTGGGGATGACTGGCCCCTTGCTCTTCCGCCGACCAAAGAGCGGCTATATGAATCTAACAAATTTTGGCATGGATGCTGCAGATGTGCGCAGGGGGGCAAGAGCCCTCATGAGGCCTTAGGATGTGCGCTGCCCCAGCGGCGCCTCAGCATGGGGCGGCGGTGGCGTCAGCACATCACAGATTACAGACGGCATGGCATGTCAAAGCAATAATTGCAACAAAAAGGAATCATCAAGAAATTATAAGACTTGTGCCAAAGATGAATAAGAAGAGAGGCTAGCTGGTCAGCCCCAGCTCGCCCAGAAACTGCCGAGCCTTTGTGGATGCCCAGCTGGTGTTGCCCCAGAATCCCCAGCCGGCCATGAACCGCACGTAGTCACAGAGCGCCAGCCTGTAATCGCCAAGCATCGCCTCATACGTGTAACGCTCCACCGCCTCCGCCGCAGCTGCAGGGTCAGCGATGCCGGTGCTGCCTCCGCCGCCCGCCGCCGCCCTCAGCCCCTCGATCAGCTGGCCGTGGTAGTGGCGCAGCAGCACCTCCTCCTGCTGCGCCAGAAGGCGCGCCGACAGGCCGCTGCAGAAAAGATACACCACATCCTTCATGCCGCTGCCGCCACCCACATACTGGAAGTCGTAAGCCGCGCATTCGTCACTGCCGCTGCCAAACAGCAGGTTTGCGGTCTTGTAGTCGCCGTGCGTGAGCGTGCGGAAGGGCGTCTGCCGCAGCCGGTGGTCCAGCTCATGCGCCGCGGCCTGCAGCGCCCGCCCCTCGCGCCCAATGTCTGCCAGCTCCTCCAGCCTTCGACGGCGGGGCAGGGTTGGAGGGTGAGTGGAAGGGTGGAAGGACGTGGGACAGCACCAGGCAAGACTGCAGGTAGTGGATGGCCGCAGGCAGCAGCAGCAGCCCAGACACTGTATCAAGCCTGCAGCATCCCGGGCCCCTCGCTCACCGCGTTTCCAGGTGCCAGTAGCAGCCCTCTGGCCACAGCCCCAGCCTCTCCGCATCCGCACCCCAGCAGGCTGCGTGGAAGGCTGCCAGCCACGACAGCGCCGCCCTGGCATGCTGCTCATCCAGGCTGCTGCAGCTGCGGCCGGGAAGGAGGGGTGCATGGCTCACTTGCGAGTCAAGCCGGCAGGAGTAGCGGTGCCTCCATACACCCGCCACCCCACCACAACCCACCCAGCACCTCACACCTGTTTGGGAAGCGCTGCCGCAGGTCGCTCATCACCAGCTGCATGCCGCCCGCGTCGCTGCTGCTGTCGGCGTCCAGCGTGGAGTGCACGCCCAGGCAGTGCGGCACGTGGCAGGCGGCGCCGGGCGGCAGGTGGGGCGCCACGCGTTGGTAGAAGGCCGCCTCAATCTGGTACGAGCGCATCTTGCGGGCGTGGGACACGCCGCTGCCCGGCGGCGGCGCCACCTCCTTCACTATCAGCAGCTGGCTCGGCTCATCGTCCGTCTCCACCTCTGTGATCGTACCGTATCCGGCCCAGAGGCTGGACAGCGGCCGTGCCGAGCGCACTCCGGTCGGCACGGCCTCGCCATCTGCGGTTGAAGAGAATTCAGAGCAACTTGGTTGGAGCATAGTGCAAGGCGCACGTGTTCAACCCTTCTTTCTCGCAAGAAAGCTTACCACGATGGGTTGCTGCAGCGATGGCCGCTTGTGCACGCTGCTCGGCGGGGGTGCTGCCGCGGCCGCCGCCGGAACAGCGCCCGGTGCTGCTGCGCGCCATCCACCTTCTGCTGCGCGGCAGCAGCCGATCTACTTGCACAGCTGGCTCCTGCTGCCTGCTCCAGCGGCTCCTCCCCGCGGCTGCAGCAAGGCACAGGTGCAGCACAGCCCGGCCCTCCAGTTTAGCGTGAGCAATTACTATTTGTGTGTGTAATTGTCACGAGGCTGTGAGTTCATCCAGACCGATCGATGGGGAGTGAGCTGCAGAGCGGTACTTGCGGCGGCCGCCGCGGTCGGCGAGGTGGAAATGAACACCCTCCCATTCACATCTCTCCCCAGACGTGCTCATTCAACTGACGCGGTGCTCATTCAGCTGACACGGTTGAATGGAACTCACATAATGCACCAGCAGCTGCTGCACATGATCATCATCCAAGCCCCGCCTGCTGCCCTTGCTGCCGAAGCTCCTGGATGCGCTCCATGGCCCAGAAGCAGGTCGTGATGGAGGGCAGCAGCATCTCGCCTCCAAGCATAAGGCTGCGCAGCTCCGGCAGCCCAACACGGCACACCTGCAAGCAGGGGGGGAGGGGCGGCGTTGCGTCAGGCGGTGATCGCAGTTAGCGGCCCCCACACCACCCCCAGTCCACCCCCGGCAAACATGCCTGAATGTATTCCTCCTTGTCCCGCGCCCCCGGCTGCGCATCAGGCTGTGGGTCCAGCACCAGGTAGGCATGAAAGCGGTTCCTGTCGAGGGACGGACGTAGGGCAGCGCACTCGGTGTGGTGTAGCAAACACATGACCGCAAGCACGGGCAGCCCAGGGGCCACGCATGGCTGGCGACCAGGCAGCCAGGGCCGCACCTGCACCACTTGACCTCCGGGATGCCCGGGTGGCCGTCTGGCATGAGCGAGACCCAAGCGCCGCCCGCCAGGTGCGCCTCCTCGCTCAGCTCGGCGCGAGCGCACGCCTCGTAGCTGGCATGCTTGCGAGGGTCGTAGGCGCCGGTGGGCAGGCACCACACCATGCTGTTCAGGCCCTGGCGGCAGCGAGAGGTGGGGCCAGCTCTGGGGGCGTGATTGCTGCTGGTGCAGAAGCCGAATGGCGCCCAGCTCTGGATCCAGGCGGCCATGCCGCCAGGCTGACAGCGGGCCCACCTGCGCATACTCGCGGACTAGTGTGACGGTGTTGTCCTGGCGGTGGTACGGGAACACCACGGCATAGTGGAACTCGGCCTGCGGGTGCCCTGCCACATCAAATTCATGCACGGCTCCCTGCGGGCCGGGTGCCAGAAGAGCAGGCTGGACAGCCACCACCTCCAGTGTACGGAGGCTATCGCCGGTGGAGAGGCCGGGCAGGCAGGGGGCACCACAGCATGAACGTGACAGCATGCCGCACCTCGGCCTCGCCCTCGTGTGGAGGGAACGCGACCACTTGATTATACAAAGTAAGGTACCTCTGGAGCGCATGTACACAGGAGAGCGGTTAGGGAGGCTGGGTCGGCGGTGGCAATGCCCCCACCTTTTCTTCACGGCGCCTGCACCTGGTGCACCACCTCCTCTCGGACTATTCTGAACTGTGGCTCTGGCGATAGGCGCTCTGCTGCTATAAGCTCTGCTGCATGGGGCCCTCCAGCTAGCAAAGGCGGGTCCGGCGCCGTCGCCGCCGCCGCTGGTGGTTCCCCATCTTGCTGATGGTCGCTGCTGCCAGCCGCGCACGCTGATCGTGCGTCGTGCATTCGTCTGCTATTGTGCGGCAGTGCCCAGGAGCGGCCCAGGCACCGAGCAGCACGGGCAGCGGTGGGTGCGGCGATGCAAGCCATGTGCCGTGCAAGTGTGCTCATGCTAGTTCACAGGCTGCAAGGCCCTCTGCCTCGCCAGGGGCACGTGGCATGCGCACGTGGCATTGGCACAAAACATAGGCTGCAGAATCCAGTGAATCATCTCTGCAACAAGCGGAACAATTATATTCATTGCGCTGGACTGCGCCTGAGGGTGTGTGGCGGCAGCAGCATGTGGTTCTGCGCGCTGGCTCTGTTGCTGCTGGGAGCAGGTGAGGGTGGCTGGAGGCAGGCCGAGGGCGATGTGCATGCAGCCTCCAGAGCCTGCGCCTGCCGCCAGACCGGTGGTACCTCCGCTACCACCGCTGACTCCTGCCTGGCGGTGGCACCTGGGATGGCACGCCATCCCAGCAAGCACCCTGAAATGTGTGTGTTGCTGTCCCATGCAGGACCTGTTGCCGGCCGGAGCACAGCTCAGCCCACAGTGGTGCTGGTCATGCTGCCAGGCGGCACCAGCCACGCATTGCAGGGTGCCGCCATTGCACGCACCCTGCGGGGTAGGGGCTGGCGCACTGCGATGGTTCTGCCTGATTTTGACGCTGTCAACCTAGAGTCCAAGAGGTTGCTGGATGCCGGCCTGGAGACTGTGGTGTTTCAGACGCCACCACAGAGCAACGACCATTTTGAGGCAAGCGGCCGTGTGCGGCAGGCTGGCGTACCACACTTCACGTCCTGCCATTCTAATTGTGCTGAGCTGCACTGGGCTGTGGCTGTGCTGTCCCGCAGGTGGCAATGACACAGCTGGAGACCAGGCCGCAAGAGGTGTGGCACTGCGGCCTTACCTTCATTGGAATTGCTCGGCTCAGCCCAGCATCTGCCTACCTCCACCATGCGCTGCCTGCCCCTGCTGCTTGCAGTTCATCGCCCTGCACACCGGCCACTTTGAGAGCATGTGCCGGCACCTGCTGGGCGACTCGGCCGCCATGGAAGCCCTGCGGGGGCTGGACGCTGACCTGCTGTTTCTGGATGTTGCCTTCCCCTGCGGCCAAGCGATCTCGGGTGGGCACCAGCTGGCTGCGCCTGCTTGTGATGGGCCGCAAACGCCCGGCAGGCTGCAAGGCGCCGTACAGGAGCCGGCAGCCATGGTCATGCCGGATGCAGAGCTCGGGTGAATGCTTGCTGCGCCAAACTCTCACGCGTCAAGTGCCTGTGTGCCTCCCCGGTCCGCACAGAGCTGCTGGGCAAGCGCGTGGTGCTGTTTTCCCCCGTCGACATTGTGGACCCCTTCTGGAGCCGGTTTGGCCGCCTGCCTTACTCGCCAGCCGTCCACGCCGCTCTCGGGTCCGGCCTGGTTCACCCCATGGTGCGTGCCTGTTGCTGGCTGCTGGGCATGGTTTGAGGGGAGGCGGCCGGTCCTGGACCATTGAGCGCAGGGAAATGGTGAGCCTGCTGTGCGCCCTTGCCACCCAACCCACTCAATACGGCGCCGGACGCATCTGCCACGCGCAGACCTGGCGGGAGCGAGCGACCAACGCCCTGCTGTCGCCCCTCATGTTCTGGCTGGGCTCCTCGGTGGCGCGAGCCTCCGCCCAGCGCATCGCCCGCGACTTTGGCCTGCCTGGCGCCGGCGACCCACGCGACGCGTTCCGCGGCTCGCGCCTGCTGCTGGTCAACGCGGCAGACGGGGTGGCCGTGCCACGCTCGCTGCCCCCCAACATCAAGGCGAGCTGAGGCGGTGGCTGCCGATGCTGCATGCAGACTGCAAGAGAGCACCAAGCCAGGATGAGTGATTGTCTGGATGGGTTCACTGGTTGCCTTGCAGTTGGTGGGCCCACTACTGGTGGGCGGCGAGCCCAAACCGCTGCCAGCCGACCTGGCCGCCATCCTGGAGGGTGCTGGGCCCAGGGGTGCGGTGTATGTGAGGTGAGGGCTGGCGGCTGGGTGCCACCTCCACCAGTTCCAGGGTCAGGCGCATGCCAGCCAGGCAACGAGTGAATGCCACGTGCACACTGCTGCCACGCCCTGCGCGCTGCCTGCCCGCAGCTTTGGCACCACCTTCCGCCCCTCCAGCTGCGACGTGGTGCGGGGCCTGGCGGCGGCGCTGTCCGCCCTCAACCGCACAGTGATCTGGGGGCTCAACCCAGCCCGCCTCCCAGCCGCCTGCCCTTTGGACGTGTCCATCCTGCCCGCCAGCATTCACATCATGGAGTGGGTGCCTCAGGCAGATCTGCTGGGGCACGCGCAGATCAAGACCTTCCTGTCGCATGCGGGAGTCAACAGGTGGGGTGGCCAACACGGCGGGCACAGGAGGGATGGGGTGGGTGTGGCGCATGCATGGAAGCCTGCTGCAACGGATGCTGGGCTTCCCGGCAGGCCCCGCTGGTTGCCGCGCCTTGCATCAACGTCTGTACCATCTCCCCCACTTCCTGCAGCATCTATGAGGCCCCGTACCGTGGCAAGCCGCTGGTGTGCATGCCCTTGGCCGCCGATCAGTTTGATGGCTGCGCCAAGGTGCGTGCTCATGCATGCACAGCCGCTGCGGTGCCCCGCTGGTGGCATGTGGCCCAGCCCCAAACTTGGGGAGAGGTCGATGTTGCCCTCGGTGGGCCCTTGCCCCGCTGGCGCAGGCGGTCAAGGGAGGCTGGGGCCTGCAATTCAAAAAGGAGGAGCTCAGCCCCGCGACTGCCCACCGGCTAACAGCCAGGTTGGAGCAGGCGTCGGCCGAGGGGTCGCCGCTCGCGCAGCGTGCAGCGGTTGTCGGTGCCATGCTGAAGGCGCACTCGCGCCCGGCGCTGGAGCTGGCAGCAGGTGGGTAGAGCGTGAGCCCTGTCCGACGACTGCTGACGTTTGAGGACGTGCGCTGAATCCTATACGCCTGCTCTTGCTCCTGCTGCAGACTGGGTTGAATATGCGCTGGCGCTGCCGCAAGATGCTGACCTGTCTGATCCCGCCATGGCCATGCCCATGTGGAAACGGTACTGCCTAGACGTGTATGCGGCGGCGGCGGCCGCGGTGGTCGCAGTGCTTGGCAGCGCCACGCTGGTGCTGCGGGCAGGCGGGCGTATGGTGTGGCGATGGCTGACGGCCGGCCGGCGGAGTCACGGCAAGACTGAATGAGTGGCATGAGTGCCGCTCTGGTCTGCGCCCACCTGGCGAGTAAGTGTAATGTAGCCTTTTGTTAGTCAGGGCAATTTAGTTTGCAGCTCCAATCATCCGAGGCACATCCACGGCGGCATGTTGGCGGCGGCATGTCAATGGCGGCATGTCAATGACAGGGTTCTCGCAAGCCAGATGGTATTCCCGGAGTTGTGATGACATAAAAGTCATCCGCAGCCTCAAAGTGGCTTTGGCATGACCCAGCAGGCTCCCCACAGGCGCAGCAGGCTCAGCATGTTCGACTGTTCTGCTCCTCCAGCAGCCTAAAACGACCATTCCCCATGCCACTCACCTCCAGTTGTGTTGAAGATTGATTGACAGCATCCAGTGCCTTCTGATACAGCCGTGCAACGGGTTTGGAGAAATACAAGTCGAAACTGGTGCTCTTTGAACAGGTGAGAGTCCGCGCCCGTGTATGTGCAGCACTTGACTGTCGTTTTGTGGGTCTGGGAGTTCGCGCAGAGGTGATCGGCGGTGCGCGTGAGCGGCAGCGACCAACCTCGTTCGACCCAGCCTTCCACCGGCCGCAGGCAATGGCGTGATGTCGCAGCAGCCGCTGGCGAGCAACAGCCCCCAGCCGGCGCTGCTGGCGGGCGGCGGCGGCGGCAGCGGCACCGGTCCGCCTTCCTTTGGCGACGTGCTCCTCACTGCGTCGGCGGCAGCGCAGCAGGAGCAGCAGCAGCAGGAGCAGCAGCAGCAGCGAGGCGGGCGGGCCCAGTGTTCAGAGGAGACTCTGCGGCAGATGCTGGAGGGGGTGCCCGTCAGCGCTGTCAGGAGGTGAGCTGGCCTGGTTTCGACCCCTGGTGTGGGCACACTGTCTGTTTGTCAAACTGAGCTGCGGGCTGCTCACACCCTACCAGCTCCCGACTGCGCACCGCGCCCCCTGACCTCCCCATCATTGCAGCAACCTGGCGCGAGCGCCTGGCGGCAGCGTGTCGCAGCCCCTCCACAACGCCGCCGGCGCCTCGCAGCAGCCCGGCGAAAGCGCGTTTGTGACGCCCAGCCAGCCCAAGTCCAGCAGGCGCCAAAGCACGGGACACACAGACCCGCTGCGCCCGCAGGCCAGCCGGGTGTCGGGCGGCGAGCAGCAGCAGCAGCAGCGTGCGGCATCCATCTCGGAAGGCGCCGCCGGAGCGGGGGGCAGCCCAGCGACGGCGGTGGCATGCGCTGGGCCGCCACACGACGGCCCTGGCAGCCCCATCAGGCAACAGCAGCAGCAGCAGCAGCAGCGCCAGCCATCTGAGGCAAGGCATCAGGCCGGCGCTGCGGAGCAGGCGGGGGCAGCGGAGGGGCAGCAGCCAGGACCGGGGGCAGGCGCAGCGCCCACGTCCCAGCCTGCCCTTTGCGACTTCCCCGCCACCCAAGTGGTGCTGCTCCCCTCCGCCCAGCCACCCACGCTGCCGGCCACAGCCGCCGTGGAGCAGGCCACACTGCCGGCGACGGCCGCGGTGCTGCCGCCCACGCTGCCTGTGGCGGGCGCTGGGGCGCAGCCGACGCTGCCCGCCACGCAGGCAGTGTTTGGTGCTCTGGAGGAGGAGGAGGAGGAGGAGGAGGAGGGGGGCGGTGCCGGGGATGGAAGCAGCGCACCTAGCAAGGGTGCTGCACCGCCGTCCCCGTCCCAGGAGGAGCACGACGCGGCAGCAGTGGCGGCAGCTGCGGCTGCGGTTGCCGGGGCGCTGGCCTGCGCAGAGGCTGCCGAGCAAGCCCAGCCCGCCGCCCCAACGGCAGCAGGGGAAGCTGGCGCAGCAGGTGCTGCAGCAGAGGCGGGGGTGGCGGTCCGGCCAGCATCGGCGCCTGCTGCCGAGGCGGCACCGGAGGAGGCGGCAGCGGCGGCGGCCACCTCGGGGCAGCTGCCCAGAATCGCCGACCCGCTGCCAACCGAGCCGGCGGTACCGCCTGCAGGCGGCTCCGCGGAGGATGCTGCCGAGGCGGCATGTGCTGGCAGCGGCCACCAGAGAGCAGTGGAAGAGGCAGAGGCAGAGGCAGAGGCAGAGGCAGAGGCAGCTCGCGTAGACTCTGCACAGCCGTCTCCCGCCGCCCAGCCCAGCTGGGACAGCCAGGAAGCGGCAGCCAAGGAGCAGGCAGCCGCAACGCCGGCCGCGCCCGCTGCCCTCCGTGGCAGCAGCGGCGCCGGCGGCAGCGAGGCCAGCAGCCTGTCGTATGGCTACAGCAGCTGCAGCGAGGGCAGCGAGGGCGAGGGCGTACCGCCCAGCCCGCTGTGTACCGCAGAGGAGCTGGCGGCGGCGCGGGCGGAGGAGCAGGCGGCGCTGCTGGCCCACTCACCCTCAGGTAAGGACAGGGCCTGCCTGCTGCCAGCCCCGCCGCCCAGCCAGCTCGCCGGCGCCGCGGCTGGCCGGCTGGCGGCGAGCCGGCCCCTGCTGGCGCAACAGACCGGCCGACTGCCGTGCCTGCCCCTGTGCTGCCGGCGCAGGTGTGGGGCTGAGCATGGCGGAGGCAGAGGGCGTGAGCCAGTTCCAGAGCCTGCACGGGGCAGAGGCGGAGACGCAGGTGTGGGGGTGGGGTGGGGGGTGGTGGAGGGGCGGTGGTGTGCGGGGCTGGCCCGCTGTTCTGGTGGGGGAAGGACGGCTCGGGAGGCGGGCCGCAGCGTTGGCTCGCTGGCGGCGGCACGCGTCCACCCTCCCACCTCAAATCAACCACCCAACCGCATATCCAACCAAACGCCCACCCAACCACACTCCCCCTGCCCTCCCTCCCTCCCCTGCCTGCCCTCCAGCTGGACCTCGACCAGCAGCACCGCCAGTTCAGCGAGGGATGCGCGGCGGCGGCGGTGCGGGTGTTTGCCGTGGGCGACACCATCGCCAGTGAGGCCCCGCCGCCGCGGTGGCGGGTGCTGCAGGAGCTGCGTGCCAAGGCTGGCAGCCGGAAGGGCATCGCAAACCGTTTGGCCCTGCGCGCCGCTGCCGAGGGGGATGCCGGTGCTGCTTGTTTCCGCGTGCCAGCTGGCGGGGCTGAGCGCCTGCGCCCTGCCGCCTGCCGCCTGCCTGTGTGCAGGCACGCTGAGGGCTGTGCTGCCAAGAGAGGAGGCGGATCAAGTGTCCCTGCAGGTGTGCTGGCGGTGTGGGTGGGAGGGTGGGTATGGGGTGCGGCGCGTGCCCCCTGAACTGACGCATGTTTCCTGCCGCCGCCGGGCGCCGCCAGCGACCCGCGCCGGTGCCCTCGCCCGCGCGCTCAGCAGCCCCGCCCTCTTTCTTTCTTCCCGCGCCGCCGCCCCGCAGACCAAGTCCAGCCTGCAGCGCGCCATCTGGCGCAGCTTCCGGGCGCTGGGCCTGGACGCAGGCCTGGCCCTGCACGCGCCCGCCAGCGGCGGCGGCCCCCCGGCGGGCGGCCCGCCGCTGCTGCTGGGGGCGGGGCTGGAGGAGGAGGAGGAGGAGGAGGGGGAGGATGCGGCGTTGGGTCGATATCTGTGCAGCGTCGCTGAGGTGCGGGAGCGGCGGCAGCAGCTGGAGGAGAGCGGCGGGGTGCAGGAGGCGGCGAGGCGGCGGCGCAGGGCGCAGCGCGCCCAGCGCAGCGGCCAGCGCTCCTCGCGCCGCGGCGGCGCGCCTGCCGCGGCGGCGGTGCACGGGGAGACCCCCGTGCCTGGCAGCACCGCTCGGCAGCGGCGGCCAGGGGCAGAGCCTGGCGACCAGGCAGGCGCAGCTGGGCTGGGCGGCGTCGCAGCCGCGCAGGCAGCGGCAGCACCTGTGCCCGAACTGCAGCCAGCGGCGGCGGCAGCCTCACCCCTGCCAGCTGGCAGCCAGGCCCACGGCCCGGCAGCGTTGGAAGTGGAGCCCACACCGGGGGAGGGAGCGCCGCTGGCGGAAGCCGCGGCGGCGGGTGCGGCGGCGGCGCTGGCGGTGGCTGCCGGCGCCGCCGCCGACGGACCCTCCCAGCTGGATCTCGCAGTCACGCAAGGCGGCACCGGCACGATGGCGGCGGCGGCTGCCATGGTGGCGCTGCCTGGCACGGCCGGCGGGCCACCGCCACCCCGGCCGCAGCCTGCGCCCGAGCAGCGGCCAGCCGCGGCAGCGGCGGCGGCGGCGGCGGCGGCTGCAGCTGCGGCTGCGGCTGCAGACGGCGCCTCTCAGCTGGAAGTGGAGCCGACGATGAGGGAGGGCCGGCCTGCAGCACAGGGCCCTGCCCCTGCCCCTGCAGCACCAGAGCCAGCAGCACCAGAGGCGGCAGCGCCAGCGGCGGCACCAACGGCAGCGCCCCTGCCCGCCGCCGCCGCCGCCGCGCTTGTGACCACCCCCGCCAAGCACCGCCTGGCGGCATCAGCCCCGGCGCCGGGAGCGGCGCCTGGCGGCGCCTGCCATGACCCTTTTGACCTGCTGCTTGCCAGCCAGGGCAGCCAGCAGCCGCAGCAGCAGCCGCAGCAGCCGCAGCAGCCGGCGTCGGCGGGCCCCGGGGCAGGCGCGGCAGCTGCGGGCGGCAGCCAGGCCTCGCCTCCCCTCAAAGACCTCCAGTTCCGCAGCAGCTGGCTGCTGGGCGGCTGGGGCGGCAGCGCGGAGCAGCGGCGGCGGCAGCAGCAGGCGCAGCAGGAGGGGCAGGAGCGGGAGCCTGAGGCGGCGCAGCACGCGCAGACGCAGGCACCTCGTGCGTCGGCTCGGGAGCCGGCCGGCCCTCCGTCGCCCGCCGCGGCAGCACTGCAGGGCACCGGAGAGGACACCCCCAGCGGCGTCCACCCGCCAGCCTCGCCTCAGCCTGTGCTGGTCGATGACGGCGCGCAGCGGCAGGACGGGCCGGCGGCAGGTGCAGCGGCAGCGCGCGGCAGCGGCGGCCGATCGGGGGATGCGGGGCTGGGCGGGGTGCCCGAGACGCCGCCAGAGGATGCGGCGCAGCCGCCATCCCCCGACCTCGGCAGCGAGCCTGCTGCCGCTCAGCAGCAGCAGCAGCAGCAGCAGGGCGCCAAGGAGGAGAGCGTTGAGCCGACGCCGGCCGCCGCCGACGCGCACCAGGCTGCA